TACACATGTATGGTTAGCCCTGCTCATAGTTATTTAGGTATGGTTAGCCCTGCTCAGAGTTATAAAGGTATGGTTAGCCCTGCTCATAGTTATAAAGGTATGGTTAGCCCTGCTCAGAGTTATTTAGGTACACATGTATGGTTAGCCCTGCTCATAGTTATTTAGGTATGGTTAGCCCTGCTCATAGTTATAAAGGTATGGTTAGCCCTGCTCATAGTTATAAAGGTATGGTTAGCCCTGCTCAGAGTTATTTAGGTATTTTAATGTTTATGGTTGCCTTAATGTAAAGGAATTAATTTCAATGAATATTTTCGATTGCATAAGAGATTCACTGGCGACCATTTTTGTCTTACAGTGTCAGTCACTCAGTGTGAATACAAATATTATATTTTATGCATTACATGTCATGTGACCCATTGTAAACAGTATGTAATGAAATTATTGGTGGTACCATTAAAAAATGATCAGATTTTGTTTTTGCAATATGGTTAGCTTTGCAAAATAAAAATAGATTGCCACCAAATGCTTTTCCTATAAAAACTATAACATTTTGTCATTTTTTTCCATATATTTCATGCCAGGTAAAAATTACCAAAAAATATGTTGACACACTTGCAAACAAAATTTATAATTGTTTCGCTCCTATGTATTAGGTTAAATGCAAAGCCTTAAATAACACATGTTGTTTTTAATTTAAACTTTGAGTATATTTTGTTTTCTTTCAATTTTTTCATGCAGGTTTTTAATGAGATGTAGAGATACATTGTGTTTAAATCTTGTTTTGTGATCAGATCCAATATGGCTGACCAGCAGTCCTTTTTATCATAATAATTGTTAATCTCTGAAATCTGCAAATATTTTTCTGACGTTTTCATGCAAACTTTGGATTGTGTTTTGGACAATGACATGTTTGTTTGATTTTTTCACAATCTAATAAAATATGGCTGGTGACCATTATTCTGTAAAATACTTCATTTTTGGTTAAAAGGCAGTTTAGTTGATATATGAAGTGATTCTCAATGATTTGTGCTGAATGTAATATATAGAAAAGGAGGTATTGTCACTGATTAACCCTTCAGCAAATAGTGTCAATGACAATTTATAAAGTTGGCACATAGCTTTTCAACCCTTATTTTGGCAAGTCAATGTAAAATTACATGGAGCTTGCAGGGTAAGGGATAATTATACACATGCTATGCCACTAATTATTGGACAGGGACTATGTCATTATCTCAGTCTGAAGGATTGTGGAACTAAAGAGTACAGTTCTTTTGTCTTTGCAATGTTGTAATTCTGATTGTACATTTTGTTTTCTGAATATTACAATAAAATGGTGTTGGATATATACAATATGATTTGTGTGTTTATTTGATCTCTACTACAAATTCCTGTTTTAGGACTTTGAGCAGAACCTGGACAAATGCATTTGATGCAATTAGTAGCACTCACATTTACATAAATACATCAACGGGCAAATTAAGTTGAAATTCAATGATCCTGAATGTCAGCATCCTTTATTTCATGTTTTTGTCATATTACCTCAAATCCTGCAAATGGAAGTGTGCATGGAATCATGGGAAGTAATTGTGTGCATTGTGATAACTGTCGTAAAGGTGATATATGTTTACCACTCTGGAAGGACAGTTGAAATCTACCAGGTTTGCTTGTGATTTACATAACAAAGGGTGTTTACAACTTTGGTAGGTGTGCTGGACAGACTTAGGAAAGTTGGGGTCCATCATTTCTACTGTGTATCCTGTGTGTAGCTACTGCAATATTGTGAGACAAGTGATACAGACTTCAACCATCATTCTGTGAGACTTGTATAAACTGCTCTGCGATCTCCTCCTTTCAGCGGTGCCCTCCAGAATAACAGCGTTCCTCTGCAAGCAAGACTCCTGTATTTCTTCATTGTTGTGTTGCAGAAGCCATTGACTGTCACCCATTTCTAAATCCTGGAACTGTGAGTTGTCACCAATGCACACTTCCCTATTTTAGTGAATTTATTCATTGTATTTTTCTGTGCTTTATTTCTTGTAATTATTTTG